GCTGCTGCTGGATTTGAAATGCTGTAAGTTTAACTGAGCATCCGAACACCGCCATCCTTTCCCCACCCTAGGTCACCCTCTCGTGCGGCAGCACTTGCTTTTCCTTCCTCCCAACACGCTCCGGAAACCCTCTCACAGCACACTTGTGCTCCCACCCCTTACTGGGAAAGATCTTAAAGCACAATGATTTTATTAAATCTTGTAACACTTCCCCTCACCTCTCACCCTAAGGACAAAACTCTCCAGAGCGAGGGCGGTTTCTCTGGGTAATGTCATCCTTGCTTGTTCATCTGTCTGGAGCAATTACTGTGGCTTCCTTAGGGATTATTTTTCAGACAAAGTGTTGACATTTTTCCCCAGTTGGGCGTCAAGTGTGTACCTGTGGTGGTAATTTCTGAGCGGCAGAACTCTTAACGAGAGGAATGCCCTGTGGTTAATGAGGTGTTGGAAGACAGTGTGGCTAAATCCGGCATTACGCTTTCCAACTTTCCAGTTTAATTAGAAACCTGGATCTCCTGGTCATGCATTCATTCATTTTCTGAGTTGAGTGACAACCCAGCCTTTCACAGGGAGAGCAACCACAATGTTGAAGTAAGGTGGTGATGCTGTTGGCCATCCACATCGCTCTGTCTTGCCCAGCTTTGCATTTGCCATTGCAACGTCAGCGCCTTTCCCAAGTGCCAGACCTGCCGGAGCTCCGGTACCAGGGACGTTGGCGGTGGCTGGGTCCTTCTCTTGTCCTCTCTCCTCCTGCAGCTCGTGGGCCTAAATCTGGGATTTGGGCAGATATTCAGACCTTACTGGACACTACCAGGTACTGGTTTAAATGGCAAACTTCTCAGCTCTTGCCCACCGCAGGTAAGCGATTACAAGTCTGTAGCAGCACAGAAGGCACAGAGGGAGAGGTCAGCCTCTGTCCCTGCCTTGAAATCCGGTGCTGCAGGTGTAGGACGCCGACTGACGTGAGGATGAGGATGATTCCCCATGGGGTAGCCCATGTCGGCTGAAGGGTTGCAGGGAGCTGGCCTGAACTGCCTTCACCGAGAGCTGGGAGTGTTTTACCTCACCGGGCAGGTAATTAAAAGCGTGCGCACGGTTTGTGGTGGCAGCAGAGCTGATGAATCGTTCATTACTTGTTTACCTTTTATAGTTGGATCCTGCACGCTGGCTACGAGTTGTATTACGTGTGCTTAGATGTGTAAAAGGCGGCAACATTGCAAACCAGTCAGAGGTGTTTGCCAGCTTAGGGATAACCAGCTAGCTTACCTGTGATGCAATGATATTGGAAAAAAAACCCCAAAGATATCCTACTGAAGCTTAATTTAAAAAAAAAAAAATTTTTTTTTTGGGGGGAGGGAAAGGTGCCTGTGCAGAGTAGATTTTTTTGTAAGCGTTATTTTCTTCTTTTAATTAGTATGTTTTAGTTGCTATATACAGTAAAAATGTGCCTTTTTGGTCATTGGGGATTATAAGTGAAAAGTGGAAATTGGTATTTGTATCCTTCAAGCGTTCAGTGGGCACATAGTAAATACCTGCAAGGCCGTGCATCTGACCTCCCTTGGGCAGCTGTATGGAAACTTCGCCGTGCAAAGGGCAGAGAAGCAGCCGCAGCCCTGCAGGAGGAGCAGAAATCGCCTTTTGACTCAATTTCCGTGCGGTTCCCCCAGGTGAGAAACAGCACCGAAGGGCCGCGGCAATGGGTGGGTGCAAGGAGGGTGCTGGGTGCTGGCAGGACCGGTGCCCGCGGGGCCCTGCAGCTGCGGTGCTGCCCAAGCTGCCGCACGCTCCTTCCCCTCCACCGCTCCGCCGTTCCCACGCCAGCTCCCTGTTTGCCTGGGAGGACGATTAACCGCGATGCTATCAGCGCTGGGGAAAAGATTTCGGAGCCAGCAAGTGCAAAAGTTCAGGAATACAATAATTAGCAGAGCAATTCTAAAGTGCAGTAATTAGTGGCTAATTATTGCTGCAGAAATACGCAAGGCACAGTGCCTTTCCTTCCTCTCTCCCGTGGAGAGATGGCTTATCTGGAGTTATGCCGGGAGCAGGGAGTGCTTGTCCCGTGTCCCTGTCCCGAACGGCAGGAAGGGAAAAAGTGAGCAGGGAGCCCAGGTGGGACCAAGCCCGAGGCCGTGGAAGCCGTGGGAGTGAGCTCAGTCTGCTCTCCGGAGCAAAGGCCCCATGGAAACATGGAGTTGGAATTTATACCCGCTGGCAGGAGGCTGGGCAGTGAGTGTCCCCCCCCGGGGCCGGGCAGGTCCCCCCAGCTCTCCAGCCTGATGCCAGGTTTCCCCTCAGGAGCTCAGTGCATCGGCCGGCGGGGCTGCCAGCTCGTTTATCATTACTATTTGCAAATCAGGATGCCGTAACTGATGAACCTGCGTCGCTGGTCGTGGGGCAGATGACCGTCCCCGGCCGCGTTCGCTCAGGAACAGCACGTGTCTGTGCAAACCCTCCTGCAGCCACCGCAGTGAGGTGCTGCCCGCCGGGCAGGGGTCCCGGCAGTACCCCAAGGGACCGGAGAAATAGATTGCAATATCTAGTTAGCGGACGCTGCAGGCCTTGTCTCGGCGTTCCCAGGAGGTGCCGTGTGTGTGCAGGGGAGGAGGCAGAGCTCAGCCCTGGGGTGTGTGAACAGGAAAGCTGCTCCTGTTCTCTCTTCAGAAGGTTCGGTCCAGAAACACGCGCCCCGTTGTTCCGCTCTGAAACACGCTGCGCAGCTCACCTCTGAGCGAAAAGTTTCTCTTTGCAAAGCTGGGGAGAGCAGC